TAATTGCTCTCACGCACCATCCCTGCGTCGTGCTTCGCACGGAAAAAGGCATCAATGACGTCGCACTGCTCCTTGGGCAGGGGCCAACGGCGCGTTACGCAGCATTTGGTTCCCGGAACCAGGTCAATCTCATGACACACACCTCGGTCCGGAGGCAGGACCAAAAGGGGGTCTTTGGAGGTGACGTCTTGAAGTCCTTAGCCAAAAATTAGAACGGATCCGAAGGATTCATCAGGATCAACGATCCACTTCGTGCGTTCAGCACTCTCTTGGTATCCTCCAAGACAGCTTCATCCCGTTCGTACAATGACCACTTCGGCCAAATCGCCTGCCTTCAAGGCACTGTCGAACTCTTTAAGAGACATCTTGTCCAGCTCCAGAAGAGCATCTACTGCAGGCATAGCAACGAGGCGGACGTCGCCATCTTCCTCCCCATTCATACCGTTAACGAGGGTGTATAACCGTGCGCCATCGTCTATGGTAGACACACCCTGGATCAGGGTCGATGCCCGGTGTCTTGCAGCCAGCATACAGCGTCGCCCTTGTCTCTGTACAGAGGTTTTATATCTCGGTGAGACCAGGGTGAAAACGCACTCCGCGTCGTCCGGTGTCACCTTCACTTTCCGCTCTTTTGGAGCTCCGATGTTATGTACAACATCCGACGAAGAGCTGCTTACCCCGTAGTCTTCGTCCAGTGAATAACGTGCCACTCCGCGCGCACCTGAAGGGCCGCGCCCAAGATGCCTTGGACTATGTCTAACCACGCCATCAATGGTATGCAGCGACTGCTTTGCAACGAGAGCAGTGCTTAGTGGTTTCGTGCCACTCCACGCGCATCACGAGGGCGTTGCCCTCATGACATGCAGCGACAGCTTTAATACTCGAGCAGTGCTCAGTGGGTTACGTGCCACTCAACGATTAGCCCGCGAGCCACGCTCGGAACTCCTATCTAATGCACCACTGGTGTCTATCAAATCGGACATTCCAATGTCGAGCACGTTGACCGTCTCGGTCCAGTGCTCTTGCCAATAGCGCTTTTCTCTCCTTGCAGAGGTGGGTTCATGACTCGCCAAAGCTCCACCAGGAGACGTGCGCGTA